TACCAGAAATTGAGCCAGGACCTTGCGCTTGCCAGGCAAGCCTTTATATATCTCTGGTCCATGATCTCTGATTCTTAAGGTACAACCTTCAAGAGAGTTTTGTTAAAATACTCACCATACAGAATCACCAGAATTTATTTTTCTTTTTTGACCCATAAAATGTATGGCATTCAAACTAATATGTAAGCCTGAACTGTATCTCCAGAGGTGATAAATCCAAAGCTTCCTGGTGATCCCAATGCGCTCCCGTTCAGGACCTCTAGGTCTGACAGTACCACTTTCCTGTGACCGCCTTGTTCTAAGGTCCTTTGTGGAACATGTATGTGCTCATGTACGGCCACCAGGTGGCAGTAGTGTGCCACTGTCGCACTAAGTTCTGCCTCGGGCTCTGTCCAGGCCGACCATACTTTAACTGCACCCTTCTGCCCTGCCATGTACTTTGATAACCATAAGAAGCATGCTTTTAGGGGTTGGGGATTTGGCTCAGTGGCATAAGCACCTGCCTTGCAAGCAAGCAGTCGTGAGTTCGATCCCTGGTACTGATAAAAAGGAAAAAAAAAAGAAGCATGCTTTTACAAAAACCAAGAGACTCAGCCGCTCATCTTTCAGACATTGGTGTGACCCTGCAGACCTTGGAGCTGTCCTAGCTGCCTCACAGCGCCTGTGCTTTGCCCGGCAGACTACGCCTGCCTGTCTCTTCTCTTTCACACGAGTCACCCTCAAGGCGGGCTAAAAAGGCTTAAAAAAGAAGTCGCCTGTGTGTCAATCAGCGGACAGATGGAGACAGAAAATGTAGCGTGCACGCACACACACACACACACATACACAGGGGAGTAGCACTCAGCCGTAAAGAAGTCTGAGTCATCTGCAAGAAATGCATCCATCTTGAGACCCTAAAACTAAGCCAAATATATCAAACTCAGAAGAGTAAAGGCACATGGTACCCTTAGATGAGAATGTAAATTATTTATAGAGCAGAATAGTCCACGATAGGAAACAGGAAGCTTTGCAGATGGGAGGAACTAGGAGTGGCGGGAGAGGGGAAGTGAAAAGGACTGAGATGGGAGGTGCAGGTACCAACACCTGCGATGGACACGTTCCTTGTGTATTGCAAACATGTACCAATTAGAAATTTTACGGGAAGAAAGCAGCACACTTGTCATCTTCCTGCCTGTCCCCGTCTCTGTTGTCACAGCTGCAGCCTGACAGCCCCACCGAGCCCCCCGACAGTTCCCTGCCCAACCCTAGTCTCTGCGCCCGGGAGGAGCCTCTGCTCCAGCTCCTGTGCCAGGCACACCGAGCAGTGGACCAGGCTGGAAAAGCAAGGTGTGTCTGTGTGCGCCTGCAGACTGAGACTCATATGTAAATGTCCTCTTACAAGGAGGTGGCTCAGCACAGGCAAACAGTCCCCTCAGCCTTCTCCATGGGCAGGCCCTGCAGGGACAGTGCGGTGGGCCAGCTGGCCATGGTGACAGAGCCCTGCTGGTGCCCAAGTCCTGGGACTGAGACCGAGGTGAGTGGACGCCTGGCAGCACCCCATGGATCCAGGGTCTATTCCCTTGCATGGTAGAACTACACGACAAAGAAGATACACAACAAAGAAGAGTAATGAGGATCCCAGCATAAAGGCTTTCTAAGCCTGGGATCTGAAGGCTCATCTTCTCCAGTTTCTTCTGGCCTGGCCCAGGGGCTGCCACAGAGAGGCGAGCTGTGAAGCTGGGAGGAAACTGCACGCGTCCACCCCCGGGCCTGCCTCCTGGAGGCTCAGGAAGGGCAGCTGCTGTCTGTGCCCACTAATGTGAGATTCTGTGCTGCCTGGATATGGAGACCCCCATGTGACACTCGTAGACACCCAGACGCAGCCCCCAGGCCAGCCACACGGGAATACCAGGTGATCCAGAGCAGAGTGGTGACAGGAAACCCTGGGCTGAGCCTGTGGCCATGCCCCCAGGAAGGAAGTGTGCGTGTGTGCAGCCGGGCAGCAGACTGGCTGGCGTCATTACAGGGGGCTGGGGTGCAGCTCTGGCCTGTCACCTGCCCGTGATGGAGAACGGTCCCTGGAAGCACAGCGCCCTCCAGCTGAGGAGGCAGCTGGGTGTTGAGGTCTGGGCTTGGGCTCACCTCGGGGAGGTCTGCTGGGGCACTGTTTGCTCCCTAAAGGGATCAGCCAGCTCTGGGAAGGGCCATACCTCAGAGTCAGTGAGACCCTGATATGAGAACATCAAAAATACAGCATAAAGTCATCGTGTGCAGTGGTGCATACCTACCATCCCAGAACTGTGGGAGGCTGAGACAGAAGGGTCTCAAGTTGAAGCTCAGCCTAAGCAACTTAGCAAGGCCCTGTCTCAAAACAAACAAAACAAAAAGAGCTGGAGCTCAGTGCAGAGGTCCTTGGTTCAACCCTCTGTACTGTTAAAAAAAGACAAACAACCCAGAGTGAATAGATGCAATTAATACAAGCGCTCACTCCGATCCCCATCCTGACGTGCTCTCCGAGCTTCTGCATAAACAGAGTGGACTGGTGGTCACGTGAAGACTTCTGTGCCAGCAGCCCGGAGCTTCACTAATGGTTGGTGTGAGGTTGAATTAAAGGTGGGAACTAGGCGCTATGGCATGGCTCTGTTCATGGCCCTCCTGTTAACACCCCGGAGCTTGCCTAGTTCTGGATTTCAGGCTTTTGAAAGAAATGAAGGAGCTGAAGGGGATCCTGAGAAGAGATGTGAAGGGTGGGAAGCAGCTAGGAAGACAGATGGCAGCCATAGCCAGTGGGTCTGCCTGGGTGACGTCAGGAGACAGCTAGGCGGCCCCTGTGCTGGTTCTCTTGAAAAGAGACCCCTGGGCGGGCCTCTCAGTGCTACCTTAGACCACTGAACAAACTGGAACGGGCTGAACTGAGAAGCCAACAAAATTGAGTACCTGCTGACAGAACCAGCAGGCCCTGACACCTGCAGTGACCACAGGGAAGTGTGCGTGGTGGCATCATACAGAGCAAAAGATGAACACCTGCCACCCCAAGGGAGCATGCATCCCAGACGGCAGCGAACACCTGGCCAGGTGACCTCAGGGATCTCTTTCCAAGGAGCAGCATCCTCGTACCACTGTACATTCTTCAGCTCTGAGACTCACTTCTGTTCACAGGGGACAGTCACACACACACACACACACACACACACGGCCCACAAGGAGGAGATTGCTTCGTGGAGGAGGCTGGACTCCATGGAGGATGGATTTAAAGTGTGAATAGGGAGCCTGAGATCCCGGAGCCCCAGCCTGACCCACATTTCAATCACAAGCAGCCTAGCGGAGTGGAGAAGAGCAGCAGGTCAGGATCCAGCCCCGGGGTCCCAAACTCGAAGACCTGGGGACTGAGGTCACCACCTGGCAGCTACCGCCCTGGCCCATGAAGGCCTCCTCGTCACCCACGCAAGCAGCCAGAGGTACCGGGTTGCTCTTCCCAGGCATCTCCTGTACCTTCCACTAGAATAGTGAGGGGAAAAATCAGAAGACAGAAAATTTGTTGATCACCCACCCACCAAACCAATAATGCATCTCACTTTGGGGCACAGCTTTCCAGAGTTTCTTGGGAGTTAAATTATATGGGTACCTTTTTAAAAAGTACTACACTGCTTAGCTCTTTAGCTGCTTTTAAAAAATGCACCAGTATATTTTTATTGCCTCTCTTCAGCAGTAATGCAGTTCTGAAAAACCACTGGTTAGCAGGGCTGAATTCCACGGTAGGGGTTTACTGTGGGACTCGTGGCTTGCTCATGGTGGACATTGAGGATACTTCTAAATTTTTTCATATTATGGGTAATGCTGTGAAGAATATCCTTGTAGGCTGATCTGCGTAATGTTTTAATATTCATTTTAAGCGCATACCTTAGAAGGTAATTACTGGTGGTGGGCATATCTCTAACAACTCTTTTTGGTACCAGGGATCAAACTCACGGCCTCATACTTGCCAGGCAGGCACTTAGCCATTCTGACACAGCTGCTAAGTTGGCCTGTAGAGAGTCCCCTTGGAGGGGGATGTCCTAACACATTATGGGCTCCCTGGACCGAGATGCTCCCCTGCACGCTCACGTCCCCCGGCTGGGGCCATCTACCTTCACCATTGCAGCTTCAATGGTGCTAAATCCTTTCTGTTCCCTTTGTGGGTTTGCCTCATAGAAAGAAGAAATCTGTGCAAAACAAGGACACACTTTCCAAGTGAATGATAGGGAAAGCAGTACATAGTAAAGCCTGTGGGTTGCCAGTGAATCATATCCAAAAGGAAAACTTGCAGCTTTACAAAAGAATGGATGCCGAAAATCAGTGCGCTGAAAATACTTGGTGCTGAGAATTATTCAACAAAAGTAGAGTTCATGCGGTCCACACCTGGTTCCTTACGGTCCACGCCTGGTTCCTTGCGAACCTGGGTTACACCCTCTCACTTCCTTAGCATTGCTTCATGTGCGAAAGAAACTTAAGGACCGTCGGCGTGGCTCTGTTAATCTTGAAGGCCATGATCCCGAGCGCTGGGTTCCCAAACTGACCCGGACTCTGGCTGACCCACAGTAGCCCCCCGAGGGCACCAGGATTGCTGCACGGTTGTGTGTTCCCCAACTCTGGATGTTCCAGAGGAATATTTGTGTTTATCAGACTAAAATATTTTGGTTTAAATAAAACTTAAAGACTCACCCCTGTCCATCATTCCATCAATCTCAGGACTTTTGGTCCTTAGAGCCAAAAACAGGAGTCAATCTCGTGCCTTGGACCCAAGCGCCTGTTTTGAAGTAAAAGTTTTGCAGCTTACGGGATGGAGGATGGGGCCCTGGGGATCAGTTCTATCCGAGGAAAAAGCAGTGACTTTAATTTCATTAATGGTCTCCTGGATGCTGCCGCTACCAGTTTAATTCTCCATTAAATATTAATGGCGCTCAGCGCCCAGCGTACTGCCTTCAGCGTCACGCCCGTGAAACCGACACTAACCTGTTCTATATTTTATAACTGAATCACAGGGCTTTTTCAGGAGAAGTCAGCAAAGCAACGCCACCTACTCCTGTCCTCGCCAGAAGAACTGTCTGATTGATCGGACCAGTCGGAACCGCTGCCAGCACTGTCGGCTGCAGAAGTGTCTCGCTGTGGGGATGTCCCGAGATGGTGAGCAGCTCCACACCTCCCGCAGCAGAGACCCCATCCGCTAGCCCAGGAGAGGCCCCGTCCCCCCAGCAACTCACAGCTTTGCAGAATCCACAGAGCTGCCGTCCCCCCAAAACCACTAGAGGCAGCAGAGTGGCTGGTGGGGAGCTACAGAACAGGGGAGCTGACACCCAGGAGACCCCAGCTTGTGACACTTCTGACTGATAGGTCAGGTGGATGAACTGCCAGAAGGTTAAAGTCATCTGAGGGCCCAGACACCTGCACTTCCCACCAGCCGTCACCTGCCTTCCACTAGTCAGTTTATCAGCCAGACGGATGAAATAGCTTTGGTGCTAACTGGGTCTTTTGAATCCCAGGCCAAAGTCATATTCATGTGCACAGAATGTGTGAAAATATTTCATTTCACTAGCAGACTGTAGTTTAAGGACTAGAGACCCTAACTGTCTACCGTTCAGTGACAGACATTTTCAGATCCTTCTGGAAAACTATTTGAAATACACTGAATAATCAATACTACCAGATTCCAAGACGCTATTAAACAGGGAAACTGCACGGGATGTACAGCTAGTCTGTCTTAAGAATTTTTAAAACATATCAGCTACTATCTTTAAGAGAGGCCTTTGAAAGAAACTGGCCTGTGTGGACAGCCTGCCTGCCCATAACCAGATGTTCCTGGGCTCTACGGACCCACCAGGGGACAGGCTGACTTCCTCACAGCCACCCTGGGTACCACTGTAAGAGACTCAAATCACAGAACTTAGCATGCATTCTCTGAAATTCCTGAGACACACAATTGCGCAGTTCATCTGATGACACCAAAGTGACAAACTTAGGTGTATTCTTTATGGGTTAAAGTCACTAGCTCTCTTCTGAGCCTGGAAGTTAAAGTCACAAGTTGTGTGTGCCTTTTCCCAGGAGCTGGTCCTTTTATTTCATTTTCTGGATGATAAGATTACTTTTGTTGTTGATGTTAGAAGTTCAAATACAGCTGCAGAGTTACAGCAAAGTAAATTTGACCTCTGGGTATAAATCTCCTTAGGTTTCCTTCTTTTCAAAAAACAAAAGTCCCCTCAGGATACTTTCTGGAGTTTTTACATACAATAAGAACTAAGACCAGCCAGGGGTGGTCATGCTCACTTACAATCCCAGCTACTCAAGAGGCTGAGGCAGGAGGATGAAAAGATGGAGACCTAGCGGGATAACTTAGCAGGATCCTGTGTCAAAAAATTTTTAATTTTTTAAAGGGTTAGGGCTAGGTGGGATATGGGTTTATAAAATCAAGTTCTAGCATTTTAGGAGGTTAATGCTGAAGTCGTCGTTAGATTCACGCCCTGGTTTTTAAACAGCATTAAATGGCAGAATTGTTGCTGGCTTCAGCTCACTTGAGGAGTGCGGTTTAACAATTCTCGGTACTGTGGTGTTGTGACATAACTCCCCTTCAAGCCCAGGGTCCCCGGCTCCTGTTCTCTCCTCACCAGGTTCTTTCCCTGCTTCCTTGGAATTTTCGTTGCTTGTTTTTACAGTTCGACACCCCGCCTAGATCTGAGGCAGTTCTCTGGTCCTAATTACTTTATCTGATGCTCTTTTTTGAGGCTTTCCTAAAAAGAGTTACGTTTCCTTTTCTTAATCTAGGTACATAGGAAAATTCCTGTACAAAGAAAGTGGGTGGAGGATTTCCTCTCGGTATCAAACCAGTCTGAGGTTTTTTTGGGATAATAAAGAGATTTCCATTTAAAGAAAAAAAAGCAAGAAGTCTAGGGCTATACAGCTCTAGGTGTATTTTGGGGCAGTACTGAGGATTTGAACCCAGTACTTGCCCAGTATGCAATAGCCTTGGGTTCAATACTCATACTACAGAAAAGAGAGAGAGAGAAAGAAGGGAAGGAAGGAAAGAAGGAAGGAAGGAAGGAAGGAGAGGGAAAAGAAAGGAGGGGGCAAATCACTTGTGGGTTTGGAAAGAATTTGGAGGCTCACAGAGTCATAGTCCTGAAATTCAGAGTCCACGTGGGCTGCTGAAGCAATGCCATCTAACCGTTGTTCCCAGAATGGTAGACAGTGACAGCCCATTAGTCTTCTCTGTTCCTTTGTTTTCCCTGCACAAAAGGACAGCGCATTCCTTTTGGCAGGAGACGGGGAGAACTCCTCAGCCCAGCTAACAGTGGCCTTGGACACCTTCTCCATCTCTCCTGCCCAGGCTCGGTAGCTAGGACAAGGGTGAGAAGGGTGAGTTCATGCTGGTGATCAGGACCAACTTTAACCATGACTAGGAGACCCACAGCCTGCAGTGGAGGCCTCGTGAGTCCAGCTGAGATGTACATGAGTGGGAGAATCAGAGCAGGAAATCAAAACCCCACCCCACTGTTTCAGGAGAAATTATCGGAGATTCTGGAGGATCTGGAAAGTTGCTCTGGCCATGGCTCCACTTTAAAACTGGGGACACAGATCCACCCCGATGCAGGGATCATGTACAGCACTGCCTTCGAAGATTAGGACAGCAGAACCATCGCTTAGAGATAGGTCCGAGGATTTCCTGAGGGCTTCCAGGGACCTCGACTGTAAGAGAGCACTTCTCAGGGCAGGCACAGGCAGAGACTGTGTCCAGGGAGTCACACAGCCTCACCCAGTCTGTCTGGGCCGCACAAGCCCAGCTGCAGCTGTCTGATGAGCAAGGACCTCATGGGAATATGCAGAACAGAAAATCCAACAGAAGGGGGGACCAGACCACTTCTACCTCAGTGTACCCAAGGAGTCTGCACCCCAGACCGTGCTGAGCTAGGACAGGGGGTCTGGCCCAGCTGCACAGTCCAGAAGGAATGTCCCCCTTAAGTTACTTCTCAGGGTCCCCTCCCTGTGCACCCAGGAGCAGCTGAGAGCACGAAAACAGCAAATTGCAGGGGACTGCCACAGGGGTACCGGGGTCCCCATTCTGTTCCTGACATAGCTTTGCCCGGGATGGGAGTGGAGGTGGGGGATTGAGCTACCAGGGAGGGGTGTGGTGGCCCAGGCGGGGCTGTGAGGCTCTTAGTAGGGGCAATGGTCCTGACTGTGGCCATGAGGCTTTTGACCAAGCCCACCTGAGAAGGCCCTCCCGCTGGTGGGAGAGGACCAGGAGAGCGTGAGCACCTTGGCTTTTCTCTTCCAGCCGTGAAGTTCGGGCGGATGTCGAAGAAGCAGAGAGACAGCTTGTACGCAGAGGTGCAGAAGCACCGGCTGCAGCAGCAGCAGCGAGACCACCAGCAGCAGCCGGGGGAGGCCGAGCCACTGACGCCCACCTACAGCATTTCGGCCAACGGGCTAACGGAGCTGCACGAGGACCTGAGCACCTACATGGACGGGCACACCCCCGAGGGCAGCAAGGCCGACTCGGCGGTCAGCAGCTTCTACCTGGACATCCAGCCCTCCCCAGACCAGTCGGGGCTGGACATCAATGGGATCAAACCTGAGCCCATCTGTGACTACACACCAGCATCCGGCTTCTTCCCCTACTGTTCCTTCACCAACGGAGAGACCTCCCCGACCGTGTCCATGGCAGAGCTCGGTAAGGGGGTGCGCGCGTGCCGAGCAGTGCAGCACACCCTGATCGCCCGGGCCGCTCTGCATTCCAGCTGACCTCTTCTGTTTTTAAATTTTGGGGCAGTACTGAGGATTTGAACCCAGGCCTTTGCACTGAGCTGCATCCCCGACTCTTTTTAATTTTGAGACAGAGCCTCACCAAGTTGCCCAGACTAGGCTCACACTTGATCTCCCTGCCTCAGCCTCCCAGAGTGCTGGGGGCTCACCTCCTTGGCTCTCGAAGGCCCACTGTTTCCCATAGTGTGGCCAGAAAATTCATATCCCTCTCATCACCACAGCTGAGACAGGATAAAGGAATTCAGCCTTTAAGCTCTGCAGGGAGCAGTACATACTCACGGCCTCATTAACCACCTACTTCACTTCCTTTACTTACTCCAGGGATCGCTTTGTACGTGAGGTCACAGCCCCCAGACTGAACTGGGCAGGTGCATGGGTTTGGTTTTGATTTTTGTTTTTTGCCTAGTGCAGAATTTTTAAATTTTGGAACTGATTGCTAAAATTCAAACTTTTTTCCATGACGCATAATTGCCTATATAGAACATTGTGTTGTTTCGAGATGTGTACACACAAGCACAGTTGGCACACCACTGCTGCACACATTGTTCACGTCTTTGCAGAGAGAGCTACTCAAACGCCTCCTGTCTAGTGGTTTTTACATGCTCCATACAGTACTGCTAGCACAGTCACTGCACCGCACAAATGGACACCAGAACTTTCTGCCATTGACTGTAACTCTGTACCTTTAGCCGGTCTTTCCTGCATCATCCTCTCCCTATACCTGGACTGGGAAGCTCAGAGGTTCAGCTGGGGTGTGTGTGTGTGTGTGTGTGTGTGTGTGTGTGTGTGTGAAACTCAGAGTTTCAGCTGGGGTGTGTGTGTGTGTGTGTGAAGCTCAGAGTTTCAGCTGGGGTGTGTGTGTGTGTGTGTGTGTGTGTGTAGCTCAGAGTTTCAGCTGGGGTGTGTGTGTGTGTGTGTGTGTGTGTGTGTGTGTGTGTGATTACACCAGCCCAGCCTTTGCAGATGTCAGCCACCAAATGGTCCCAGTTGGGGTGGTGCCTCCTGCTGGTCACCCCACTAATCCCATTTCTGTCATTTGCCCAACCCCCTCATATTCTTTTAACCTTGATGTGTATGGTAAATACTAAGGGGTATCTGTCTTCTTTGCTCGCCAAAATGCTGCTTTGAGGATGAATATTGATGACAAAATTGACAGGTTTCCTATAAGGATCACTATACCAACCAAAAAAAGCCTGTAATTTCTGTCCTGTCTTTATTGATGGGACCTGATGCTGCTGGGGATCTGTGACCTAGAAATATCGATAACACCAGACAGTGGGAAGCTTCCCACTTCAGGGAAGATACGTGAACATGCTCTGCTGTATTTAATTGATTTTTAAATATAGCACTATTATTAGGAGAACCTCTGCAGTGCGAGAGTTTGATGTGCTCTTCCTGGCGACTCCTCACCCAAGGTTATAATCCTTGGGGATATTTCAATTAGAGGGAGTGGAGCTGACTAAGTTAACACGAGGGGAGAATGAAGACCTCAGATGGAGAGAGCCAGCGGGTTCTGACTGGGGCACAGAAACCCTTGGTTCGCAGGATAATGGCTGTGTTCTTTACACGGCTTCTCCAGCTCCGGACCTCATAAAACACCTTTTAAGTGAAAATTTATATTCCAGTAAAAATCTTTCTCCAAATAGAACAAATTGAATGTTCTTTACAGTTGCTACACAAGCATCTCTTTATGGGGCTAAATTTAAATCCCCCAGCGCAGAAATTTCGAGCCCAGGCTTTAACCACTGAACAGCATTAAAGTGTGTTGCTGTGCTTTTGATTAACAGAGAAACCTCTGAACTGGAAGCCAAGCTGAGCAGGGATAGGCTTCATTTTTTTTCTTGAACTAGAACAAAACCGTCCATTTGTGTCATGAGATCTTGGTTGACTGAGCCTTAAGCAGACCTGTAATCAAAGTAAAATTTTCACAAATGAATAAGGATATTGAGGGGAAGGTGACATGAGCCCATGAAAAATGCCCTGACTGGCTTCAGTTGGCTTCCACTGTCCCATAAATACTTGCGGGTCCAGCCTGTTTGCTGGTCAGATGTTCAGTCCCAAGATAAATCCATAGGGCTGAGCCAACGTGCTGCCTTTGAACTTGGCACTTTGGCTAAAACCACACAAATGCCGGATGGGGCAGTGCTGGCTGAGTGCCATGCTTTGCCCAGCCCCCAGACCCCTGGCCCCCAAACAGCATCCTCTCCCGCGGTGGCATCTCCAGTGCCAGGCAGCCCTGGGCCCTCGTGCTTTGTGCTCGTTTAAATTGGGAATTTTTCCAAAGCGTTGGAGCCTTTTCCACAGTGAATTAAAGTAGCCTAAGGTGACCTAACCCCAGGGTGACCTAAAATTCCTCACTACTTCCATACAGTTTAAGCCCTGCAGCCTTAAGATTCTCAGCTTCTTGCAGACAAAACTTTGCCATCAGGCAATGAAATCAGCTGTACAGTAGGAAAGTGTAAACTCACGTAGCTGAAGTCCAGTTCTGTCTCTCCATAGCAGTACTCACAGCCTTTCCCCTTGAGTGGAACACGTCTCTATCCTCAGGTAGCAGTGATACCTGGGAAGTGCACTTACAGCCTGAATTGTATATTCCAGATAAACAAGACAGTTCTTTCTTTTTTTCTTTTTTTAGTACCAGGGATTGAACTACTGGGTTGCACTCCCTAGGCAGAGGCTGAGCTAAATCCCCAGCCTATGGTTCTTTGTTTTTGAAGTACTAATCATGGGCCTGGGATTTAGCATAGTGGCCTAAGTGCCTGCCTGGCAAGCGTGAGGTCATGAGTTCAATCCCTGGTACCAAAAAAATAAAGTGATAATCAAGTAATGGCTGATTAACGCCGATACGCTGGGCAAAGCATGAGATGTGAGCTTTCCTGGTGCTGATGCTGCCCTTGCTCTGAGCTGTGTCACCCTGTAGAAGGTCACGTGCCCACACGGAAGCCAGGCCGTGTTCAGCTCCTAGCACTGCTGCCTGCCACGGAAGCCCATGTGGCTCGGCCTCCCTAGAAATGAAGTAGAGGCAGTCATAGGACCATAGCCCTGCAGTCCGGAGGCTTAAGCGAGGCAGGGGAAATACGGTCTATATGTTTTCATGTATTTGCAATACATGTAAAACAGAGCTCCTTCTCACTGTGAAATCAGTGACCTCAGAAGCCAGGATTTGCCTGATGTTTAAAAGTTGTACAATGTCTGAAATCTACTCTACTTGGAATTGGACTGGAAGGCAGTTGGTGCGAACGCAGCCACTGCCCTCTACTGGTGCAGCTTGGGCATTGCGTGTCCCGTTGTCACGCTGCCTACTGGCCTCTGCAAAAGCAGAGTGGTTATTTGGTAGAGACAAGTTGCAGCTGTTTCTTTGCCCCTAGTTTTGGGGATCGAATCTTGGGCTTTGCACCTGCCACGCATGCTCTCTACCAAAGAGTTATGCCCCCAAGCCTCGGTAACATTTTTTAAGATTAAGTGAACCAAGATACTGACTGCACTGGCTGGAAAAGCAGCAGACCCCGAAGAATCACAGCGCCCTCTTGCCTGTGAATAGTTGGCCACACTTTTTCCTTAAAAAACAAATTTATGGGCTAGGGATTTAGCTCAGCAGCATAAGTGCCTGCCTTGCAAGCGCATGGTCGTGAGTTCAATCCCTGGTACAAAAAGTAAATAAAAATAAATTTACAAGAGCCCAACGTGGTGGTGCATGCCGGTGATCCCTCCACTCGGAAGGCTGAGGCAGGAGGATCATCTCTAGTTCACAGCCAAGCTGGGCTACAAATTGAGTTCGAGGCCAACCTGAACTGCATAGTAAAACCCTGCCTCAAAAAGACAAAAAAAAAAAATTAATAAAAAGAGTTTACATTTCCATACACTGTCTTATGTAGCGAGCACTTGGTCCCAGAGCTAGTTCAGTGTCTTATATATGCACTAATTTTCTGGTTTCTGACTCCTGTTTCCTTGTCTTGACCCTTCATATGCATCACTGATTCTAAGATTCAGAATTTACTGGCTGCCTCCTCTTTAGATTTCTCTTTTTCTTTGCTCCACAGTGTTGTGCCTTTGTTGATGTTTTGTTTTTTCTGCCATCTACCCGTGCTGTTTTAGCATCTCTGTGTTGCCAAGTAGGGCCATTAGGATTGATTATGTTTCTGTGTCTCCAAGGAGAGCCTAGTTTCAGACGCCACTTAGGTAAACCTGCTCTGTTTTCACACAAACAAGCCTCCTTCTGTTTGAGGAAAGTGGCAGCAAATTTACAGACAGACCCTTGCAAGCCTCGCCATGTCTGCCCTCAGCAGCGCTGCCTGGTGTCCATCCAGTGCCCGAGGTGCCCTCAGTGTTTGATACGGTTTCCGAAGTGCGGATCTGCATCAGTTCTTTTCAGCACATCTGTACATGGGTGCAGGAAGTTGAGCTCACACAGCACTAAGCTACATCCCCAGCCCTTTAAACAAAAATTAAACTTAGAGACGGGATTTCGTTATACAGCCCGCGATGGCCTCAAACTTTTGATCCCTGCCTCAGCCTCCCTAACAGCATCACCTCCTCTCATCACTCTCTCCTTCCGTAACCGTGGTTACCAACCTGCCTCTCACTGGGCCCCCTGCCCAGCCTCTCTGTTCTCCCACCCACCCACAACACTGCTTATCCACGGCTGTCCCAGAATCACCCTGTTTGTTTCCGTCCACCATGCCCCGCATGGAGCTGGTCCCCTCCCACACCACCCACCCCCCCGCCAGGCCTGCCCATCCTCCAGGGTCCAGTGCAAACGTCCTCATACACCAAGAAGCCCCTTCCTGCTCCGCTAAGTCAGCACTGATCTCCCCCTCACCTAACAGTACCGATTACTTTTTTAAATCTCCATACTTCATTGGCCCGTGCCTTACACCTTTGTTTTCAGTGTGTCTACACCTGGCCAGATTATGAATTCCCAGAGAAAATGTGTCCGGCATCATCTTTAATGTCATGATGCTTCACGTACTCAAGTATGCTCACAATCCATGGTGTGTCAGCCTCCTTGCGTTTCCACAGCAGCCTTATGGAATGAGTCCTATTTTCTTCATTTTACAAATGGAGAAACCCAGGCCAGGAGAAGTTAAATAACACACCTCAGATCGCAGCTCATGCATCACAGCACTGATACAGTCCTTGACAGTCCAGATCTGAGTCGGTCCCCAACTCCCCTACACCTAGAAATATGCCCGGTTCCTCCCAGTGTCTACCTGCTGTTTGCAGGTGAGACAAAAGAAATGCAAGTTGTCCTCATAATATCTCCAAGCTTTCCTGACTTTTTCGGGCTAGCATAAAAATGTCACAAAGATGTCAATCATTCGCCTTCATATCTAGCTCAGAATTTATTCATCCCCGGATATTAGGGAGACACAGAATGAGGTCAAGGGCAGCGTGGCCTCTGAAGTCACGGAGCCTCTGTGTGGCTGATGGCTTTGCAAGGCCCCTGTCCTCCGTCCTCCCTTCCCTGATACAGAACAGATGCAAACAGCTGTCTAAAGCATAAGCTCATCAGGACTGGTGCAGCCACTGTGTTCTGCTTATTGCTTTCCTAAAGCAAATGTTAAGCAGGGGAACCACTGCACTCCCAGGGAAGAATGTGGCTTCTCATGTCTGCCATCTCCTCCTGTTTCCCCCCCGTAGAACACCTCGCACAGAATATATCCAAATCGCATCTGGAAACCTGCCAGTACTTGAGAGAAGAGCTCCAGCAGATCACGTGGCAGACCTTTCTGCAGGAAGAGATTGAGAACTATCAGAACAAGGTAGGAGCCAACGCAGCCGGCTCAGGCCTCGGGCTGCACTGGGGAGGGTGCTGGGGCAGGAGACCCATCCCAGAGCACCGGGTGACCAGAACGTGAGTGGCTCGTACCAGACACCAGATCTCCGATTTAAAGCCTCCCTTCCTTCCAGAGCTGAGCGTGTGTGCCTGGGGCTTGACCATCTCAATGAGATGCCAGCATCTGAAATTTCCACGATAAGGAATTCTGTGGTGTCATAAGTACAAACATAGCCCCCTCAATTTGTCACCAGGGAATAGATCCAGTAGCTTCCAGAAACATAAAAGAAAAAGAATTTGCCCTCATAGGATCTGGACTGGACATAAAATATTCTCAGCTTCATGTGTCCAGGGGTTTAAACGAAGGCGTTTGTAACACACGCCAAATCCCGGTTCAGAAGCTATGATCATAACCCTGACCTGAACCTGGCATTATGACTCTGCCGCTCCCGTGCAGTGCCCTGACCACTGAACCACCAGCAGGAGGGGATAACTGGACATGGGAAACTCAGGGCTACCCAACCCAAGCCTTTGGTAAAAAGAAAATGCCATGCATTTTTCCAGTAATCTCAGCAACATAGGCTTGGAAAGGATGGTAGAGATTATCGAGGTTCAGCTTCTCTCTCCCGTTACATATGGGGGAACAAGTGTGGCCTGGCCCGAGGCTGGGGAGTGAAAGCGTCAGGACCAGATGCCGGCTCCTGGCTGCAGGTCCTGGTTTCTCAGATGCCAGCAGGCTGGGGAGACAGCCAGCCTGAATGCAGCAGATCCGGGTCACTCCCTAGCTGGTCAGTGAGTGTAGGAAGGGAAACCAAGAGCCCAGGCCGAGGGGTGGCCAAGTGTCATCCTTGCCTCTGACCCCTGTCTCCAAGTGGCCAAGCTGCAGAGAGGCAGCAAGCAAGAAGTAAGTCAGAGATGCTGGGATTTGAATCTGGCTCCTCCAGCTCCTAGCTGTGAAATACCCATGGACTTCCATGTCATTTCAGGATGATAGCTAAGCGTTCCTACAAAGATGCTGTGAGACAAGGGTGTCATACGGCATCCAGCTCACAGGAGACACACAATAAATTGTATTGACTGCCCTTTATTTAAAAGGGCATGAAGTGGTATTAAATGTCCCAAGGCAAAAAAATCATGGTTTGCAAGACAACCCTACGTGGCTACACTGTGGCCCGGGGCTAAAGCAGTGGCTGCGTTGCTCTCTGGACTCCTCAGCTTTTCTGCTCTAAGAGGGGTTCTTAGCCTCTTCTGCCAGCCACAAGGTAAGAGGGGGACAGCAGGCAGCTGACAGAACAAGGAAGCGGGGCTCATAGCAACACAAATAACAAGGCAACTGTTTAGTTTTCAGTCCGCTGGGCTTTGTGCGTCTCTTTTCAAAGAAAGGACTTTAAAGAGCAGGGGCAGTGCAATGAATTGTTCCCAGGACCCTGGGTGACCTGCATGTTGCTCTTTCCCCGTTTAACAGCAGCGGGAGGTGATGTGGCAGCTGTGTGCCATCAAAATTACAGAAGCTATACAGTACGTGGTGGAGTTTGCCAAACGCATTGATGGATTTATGGAATTGTGTCAAAACGATCAAATTGTGCTTCTCAAAGCAGGTATGCACTTTGCAAGGGGATTCTGATGAGTCGTCCTAACATGCTTTTGCCTGCTTGTTAAAGAAGTGCTTGGTAAGGAAGGTGTCGAGAGCAGTTTCTCCCTTCAGTGATGATAGCTCAGGTTTTCCTTAGCAGAAACCCAGTGCTTTTGAAAGGTTTCTGAAGCCATGTTCAGGAAACATTCCCTCTGCACTGCTTCTCCTCCCAGTAAAAGGATTAAGTTAAAGGACACCTACATTCCCAAATGTTACTGCCACCTGTACTTTTTTCTATCCTCCTGCTCCTAATTCTGAGTTGTTAGCAAGAGGCTTGCAGAACTCAGTCATTCCAGTGTGATTTTTTTTCGATAAACATGATTAAATACTTCCCTCGAAATTCAGGCTCCACTTTGCAAGATTAGCGGTATCCAGGACATAATTTGTAGCTTTGCAGCTCAATCCTTGTTTTCGTCAGACAGGGCTTAGCTTTAGCGCGAGGGTCTTTGCTTTACTGCAGGAGAGGTACTGCATCCCGGGGCCCCTGGGCTGCTCTGCGCTGAAGGCCTCCCCTAGAGCGAATGACCCACGCCATTCTGTGTGTGCTCAGGTTCCCTAGAGGTGGTGTTCATCAGGATGTGCCGTGCCTTCGACTCGCAGAACAACACCGTGTACTTTGACGGGAAGTATGCCAGCCCCGAGGTCTTCAAGTCCTTAGGTAAGGACGTCGCACGCCACCTTCCTTGATTTCCAGTCAGGGCTTGGGGAAGGATGTGGGCTGGGGGAGGGCTGTGCCTGGATAAAACGAAAACTGGTTGTTTGGAGAATGAAACTACTTCATGGAACAGTTGACTGTCTCCAGTGCTCTTTGTCTGTATTCCATACAGAGATCCAGAGTTTTCTTTTCTATCCCATTGGTAACTGAAGCAGTTTATAGTCTGTGTCCTTCCATTTCCCCTCCCAGATTTTAAGAAACCGTGTGAAGGAAATATAATACTCGGTAACTTAGGGGATGTGATGGGGTACATAAGAGCAAGCGAACCACATAGCCTGCCATGCCCGACCCCTCAAACAACATTTAATGCAAAGGAAATAAAGCAGAGCTGGGTGAAAGCACGGCACGGCATTTATAAATTACTTTGAATTCCCGGAATTTAAGTAAAGTGGAGTATAGTCATGGAGAACAGTGATGAGATATGCAAATTGTGCTGAGTGATATTTTTTAGAGCTGCCCGACAGAAATTGTGTATGGATAACTGTAGGGGGGCCCCTCCTCTGCAGCACACCCACGGGCGAAGAGGCCACCCCACTTAACCAGTCTTTCAGGGACTGGATTGCTATTTTAGGACACTTTGAGCTTTCATGTTTTCCAAACTTCGGTAAACAGCCATAATAGTTTTCCCACCACGATGTGTCATTTTTAGTACTTTAAGGTAAAACAAAAATGAGTGAATTTAACGTTTCAGTTAGACTGTCGCCCATAGACGGCTCCATAGTGGGGCAGCCTGGCTGGAGCCTCAGGATGTACCTTCTACCTGTGTGACCTCAGATGCATTACTCATCTCTGCCAGGTCTCCGTTTCCTCCATAAAGTAGGGGTGCTAATAGGAACACTGTGCCTCTCTACAAGGGCTGTTTCGAAATAGGAGGATTCCTATCCAAAGAAACGTCGGGAACAGTGCATGCCTGGGGGAACCACACGGCAGGCATTGAGCCTGGGAGAGAGGGTGGCGGGGGTATAACCGGTGATAGTGGCCACTGGTTCTGGTGGCAACAGAGGTCATCACCAATTTTTATAATTTCAAACTGTTCTCCTGTAGCAGAATTGCCATCCCCTCTGATCCTCAGTGCCCAGGTCTCTCTTCACCTTCTTCTGTGTTAGTAACCAAAATCCTTAACTATCTTTAATTGTCCGCAGGTTGTGAAGACTTTATTAGCTTTGTGTTTGAATTTGGAAAGAGCCTATGTTCTATGCACCTGACTGAAGATGAAATTGCATTATTTTCTGCGTTTGTACTGATGTCAGCAGGTAAGAGAACTGAAAAACAAGGTCAATGGTCTAAAATTTCTGCAGGTGAAATATTTTTGCAAGGTACATAACTTACCTGTTTAGAATATTTGAGGGGCTCTCAAAAGCAGTTGCCATTTTATGCAAAATCTAAAGTTTTTCAGAGAACACCCCACCCACTCACATAAACTCTTTCAAAAAGACCTCATGCCTTTCAGATAAAATCTTAAGACATAACAACTCAGTAAAACCCAGTCTACAATTCACCTCCAGAAACCAGGAGAAATGGTCCTCCTTAACACAGCCTCCAAGAGAACATGTCTTTTTTTAAAGAATTCCTGCCTTTTCTCTTTTCTTAAGTCCCCAGGTTTTCCATCAGCACTGCTGATAATCACTTCTGCAAATTTACTGTCTCCTATTTGATGTTTTTTGCACACAAAGGGACTTTATTCTAAATTAACCACCCTTAAGTTATTTGGATTCCTGCTGACAATTTTAGCTACTCAGGATCATAAGGCTGTTCTCATATTTCCAAAAAGGCTGGCAGGATTGATATAAGTATTTCATCTAGAAATACAGTTATTGGAAAGGCTGGTGGGGGTATGGTGGTTTCATTTGCTTTTCTGTGAGAAATGCCTTAAATTCAAACGTCCATCCTTTGGAAAGGGCAGATCCTGACTTCTTTCCAGTATTAGTAAAAGTGGCAGGCTTAACACTGTTTTCCAACTGCCATAAATCCTTTTCCGCTCCAGACGAATTCTGAAATTTTTCAGAAATTTGGAAGACCAGGGCAACTGGCCTGTGAGTCTCTAAATGTGCACTGCAGCATAATAATCTGTACCTAGGAGTCAAGAGGCATAGGGTGTCCCACACGTGTTCAAGCAGTGAGACTCGTGATACTAAAGAGTGTAATTTTTTATGTTCAGATCGCTCATGGCTGCAGGAAAAGGTAAAAATTGAAAAACTGCAACAGAAAATCCAGCTAGCTCTTCAGCATGTCCTACAGAAGAACCACCGAGAAGACGGAATACTAACAAAGGTGAGAGCGCGGGGCTGCTGCTGGCATGGCCCGCATGACCAAGCCACCAGCTGCCCTTTCAGGGCTGTGTGCCACGCGAAGACGGGCCTCTCCATTCTGAAACATTCTGTTAGACCAAAACCCGTTACTGAGGTTGACTTCTGTTCTTCACCTTTTGCTCACATCGTGCCCCGCATGAACAGGGCAATTGTGGGTAAAGGGGTTTTTTTTAAAAGCATTCATACATTCAGGAAATTCTCTTCCTATTCCAGTGTTGCACAAAAAGCAGAGTTAAATCTCTTCATTGTTGGGGTTAGGGATTTAGCTCAGCAGCATAAGCACCTGCCTTGCAAATGTGTGGTTGTGAGTTCAATACCCAGTACACGATAAAGAAAAAGACCAAAAAAAAAAAATCTGCATTGTTGTACACTGGATAAAAGAGTCTCTGAATTTAGAGACCTTTTAAAGGACTAAACCAACCAGGATAGCTTTTTTGTTTGTTTGTTTGGCATTTTTTGAGGAAAGGGTTCACTATATGGTTCAGGCTGGCCTTGAACTCAACAGCAATCCTCCTGCTTTAGCCTCCAGAGTGCTGGGATTACAGGCGTGTACCACTGCCCCCAGCTCATATATTCAGATAGTGATTCTCTTTCCATTGAACTGATGAGTCTGCTATAAATAACTTTTGTGTTTTCTTATTGCTATCCTGTGTTGAAGGCATGAGGTTTTATTTGTGGTAGTCACCTTTTGCAGTACAGCTAGGATGCCAGTTTTAAATATGCTAACATGGTTCAGTGTTAGTCCTCAGCATATTTGGTTTTAGTCTTGAGTATTTGTGTTCCCGTTTCCTTTTCTCCTGTTGGGTCAGAATGGGGGAACCAGTGGTCAGCTGCTCTTTTTTGATTTTGCACCAATGAACTGAATGAGTAGTACAGGGACGGGAAATGGGAAGGGAGGACCCTTCCAGAACTTCACCTGTCTTCTTGCTGAAAAGCAAGACCCCTGTAAAATTATTTTAGAGAGCACTTAAGAGGATCTGGTTAAAAAAAATCTAGTGAGGGCTCTATAACTAGGCAGAAGCATTCTGTGTACGCTGCTTAGGAGCAGTTACCCTAACCAGTAAACGGTCGGTCCATGCAGGGGCTTCCGTCATTTCTCAGACCCAGAATGGCTTTGTTAGAAGAGAAGATCCTCAGCTAGAAGGCACGGCTGCCCCGAGGGTTGACTGGAGCCAGTCCTGCCTCAGATGCAATACAGTCCCCCCACCAGCCGGGACTTTGGGAACCCCCATCTCCGCCAGCAAAATGCTTCCCCAGAGGGAGAGGGCAGGATTCGGGGTCACCATGGAATAGGAGGAGGTGAGAGCCTTGGGCTTTCATCTAGGACTCCACCGCTGCCAACCAACTTCTGCTTCCCTCGCCATTAGGTAAAGTTACTAACCTTCCAGCTAGCACTCACTGTATTCCTGGCGTTCCGTGACGGGACCGGACATCATTTAATGTTACCAGTCCTCTTTCTGCAAGGCTAGGTGGCTTCCAATGTACTTCAGCCACTGTAAACCGTGCTGTAAGGACTTTCCCTTCGCGTGCCCAGCCCCTCCTGACTTCGTGTCCTTTCTCACTTACAGTTAATATGCAAGGTGTCTACGTTAAGAGCCTTATGCGGACGACACACAGAAAAGCTAATGGCGTTTAAAGCAATATACCCAGACATTGTGCGACTTCATTTTCCTCCGTTATACAAGGAGTTGTTCACTTCGGAGTTTGAGCCAGCAATGCAAATCGATGGGTAAAGGTATCACCTGAGCACTTCTAGAATGTCTGAAGTACAAACATGAAAAAAGAAAACAAAACAAAAATTAACCAAGACACTTTCTATGGCCCTGCACAGCCCTGGAGCGCCAACACACTGCACATCTTTTGGTGATCGGGGTCAGGCAAAGGAGGGGAAACCATGAAACAAATAAAAGTTGAACTTGTTTTTCTCATGCATATGATTTCCATTATGCCTACAGATATGGACCCTTTTTCTGTCTCAACTTCTTGAGCGCTGACCTGTTTACAAGGAGGGTACTAAAGTCGGAGGATTTCCTTTTCTTGTAGCTCACTGCCCCACAGACCTTCCTGGAGTCACCAGTCTGTCACTTCCACCAGAGAGCCCAGCGGCGATCGGTGTTCCCCATGCTCGGCTTGCTCTGTTCCATGAAGGAGGTCTCTTACTTTCTCACCGATGATTGCCAGTCAGCAGGATGGCACCAAAAGGGTCCGTAGCACTAGCAACAATAGCATTATAATATATTACAGGGTAAATGGGCATGAAGACTATATATAACTAAAAGAGATATTGTTTATCTATTGTTTTAATTAATATAAACTGTAGTTACTGGTGTAGCTTTTCCTGTTGAATTGTTAAGGCACTTTTCATTTTGCACCTTTTTCTTTAAATTAAATGCTAGCGTGTCCACTGTCGTGTCGCATGTGCACCAGAAATACAAGTTTAACTGAGAAGGCTCGGAAGGTACGTCGGGAGGTTTTCGTGCTGCTGTTTACAAAGCTACTTGGAAAAGACTGGCTGGTCATATCTAGAAATCAACACGTTGGATTTTTTTCATCCTCCACATGTGAATTTGAAATTCAAAATAGAACTCTCCCTGAATTACGTTTTGCTTTTTTTGAGACGTTTGATAGATGTGTTTATGCTTCATACAAAGCTGAATGATCGGTGCGGTGTATTTAAACCCTCATGCACATTTTTTGAATTTAAAAAGCAGCTTTTTAAAAAATGCCACCTTTGGCAGCAGGGGAAGGGGGAGGGGAAGGGAGGAAGGGGAGGCTCAATTTACACAACTCAGTAGTCACATGGATTCAGTCTGAACTTGGAAATAAGTTAGTAACCAGAGTATTTATTGGACTCTAGCTTTTATGATAAGTAGGACCCAAAGATGTTATCTGGAGCAAGCACACACTCCCCCGTGAGGACAGGACACGCTCTCTGAGTGTTCATATTCTTGGTATAATCTAGGAATCCTAAGCTTTTATCTCAGAGTGATCCGACTCTAGACAAGTCCCCATGTGCCGCTCTTCTAGAATGTTGCTCTCCAAATTTGGTAGATGATGGCTAGGATGGCGAGGGAGGTATGTAATGTTGAACCAGTTTCTCTTATTTAATATTAAATATACTAGGCCTTTAAAGTGAAGTCGATGCTAGCTGCAAACCTTTACTCTTGTATTTATCTTCACTAGAAAACTGTGGATTGTAATTTATTTTATTACATGTGTAGAAGATTACTTGGCTTTGTGTTCAGGTGAGAAGGACTGAGTTACTTTTGTTTCATTTCCTGCTCTTTAAGCAGCCCCAGTGGGGAACAGCAAAGGCACACTCTGATTGATGTACAAGGGTGTACGTTTTGAAAACAAGTGACCTTTTGGGGACGTGGGCATGTAGAAGATGGTAGTCACACCCAGAATGGGGTTCAGATACATGTTCTGATATCCAAGACCATGTTAAGGAAGAGACACCATCCACGCTGTGAAGGTGGACGTTTCCAAGAAGCCTGTACATTCAGAGGCTGCCTCTGCCACTAGGGCTGCTCTAGAATCTTCTGCAGGAACAGTGGCCTGTGGGGCCAAGCTGGACCCCTCGGCCTGGTTTCTCAGAGCACTTTATCTGCTTTGCACCCCGCTAACCTCCTGACTTGTTTCCTGAGGCACTTGGAGAAGGAATTATTTACACAGAAGTGCGTATGAAGCCTAAATGACATCCACATTTTTTTTCAAAAGATATTTTAAGGGTTTAACCATAAATAGAAGATATTTACTTAAATTTCTTAAGGCATATAAAATTTTATGTGTTTATATAGAGACGTTAATTGTCAGCATATAGTATTTATATTTGGGCAAGAAGGGTTAAATCAAGCTTTTATTTAAGTAAGCATAGTTCCTTTAAAGATTCATAGTATTTATGCTCTGAAAAAGAGTACCAAGCTTAGTTCAGTTATTTATTTGTCCATTGTATCTTCTCTTTTTCTTGAGGGGAAATGGTGGGGGGTCTCTGGAGGGAGGGGGTATTTTGGTTTTTGTCACTCAGACTCACTAAATTTGGGGGTGATTTTATTAAAGTATAAATAACTTCTTTTTAACCAAAGCTTTCTGAATATGACCAGCCTCAGGTGCTAGCTAAAGAGCAACTAAACTAATTCCAGTGTCCATTTGTGAGTAAGAGTTAATTGAACTTCTCCAAGGGTGAGAGAGAAAGTAATGTTGAACGTAGAATGAAATCCCCTTTCCCAGAAAGGATTTTGCATGGGCGTGATGCAAAACACAACGAAAATGATCCTCTGATCTCATTCGTGGTGACGACATGGTAACACTGCTCTTATAGTGAACCAAGACAGTAACAATGATGCTGCTTCTAGGTGTTTCTGCAAGAAAAGCAGGTGAACTTTCAGAGTGAAGTCCCCTGAGTGTGGGAACAGAAGAATAGAGACAGATGTGCTCGGAGAACCCGAGAGAACAACTATTATGTGGACCTAAGTTTGGATCTGAAGCTAAACAAATACAGTTGAGAGAAATCCTGAGTCTAGAAAAGGATGTGAAAACCTTTGCATTTTTATTTTCTTCCTTTATATATAAAAAAAAAAAACCCACCTGTGTGATGACACAAAACACTAGGTGATACCAGAATGGTTATTCTGAATAGTTCATATAATCAGAGTCTCCTAAACTTAAATGTCCAACAGTCTTTTAAAGATTGGAACCACGTCATGGTTCAGTTGACTCCTCTAACATTTTTATGTAATTTTTAAAAAGAAGATAAGGCTTGGTATGAAGCTCTGTACCACTGTACAGTGGTGTCTCCGTGTGGTGAAAAAAACTGGCCACGGTCACAGTGAAATCAAAAGTGCAGATGAAAGTGCTTTTTGGACAGTCTGCAAACCATGTTAGTTATGGATTTTTAAAAACAGCATCCTAATTTGTGTTAAAGGAATGAGTTGTTTTTTTAAAAAAAAAAGTCTTCAGCATCCTAATCCACCCTTCCTGAAATAAGGAAAACATGACATACGACACTGTTTCTAAGTTTGGTTGTTCTTTACGGTGTGGACGCCCAGGTCTCTGTGAGCACAGGGCAGTGGGCGGAGGGTCAGGCGAGGAAGGCGCATGCGGGCGTGCCTGCGTATACGCGTGTAAGATGTGCGTGTGTGTGTTTGTGTGTGATGTGCATGTGTCAGACCGCTTCTAGGCTACTAAGTGTCAATGGGAAAGAAAATGTATTCAAAATACTTAAATCAAAACTAGAAGATGGAAAGAAAAAAAGATTTATTCTATACAAAGCCTTGTCTGGACCACTTTAGAGAGACTTCTATTTTTTTAACCCTTCTATAAATATTTGATGGCACTTGAAATATTCCTGCAATAAAATGTGATTTGTGTAAAGAAAAAAAAAAGATTTTGTAATGTGAAACAAAGAAAGAAAGTAATGTAATTTTCTAAAAAAAGAAATACAAACAAACAAACTTTGTATTATTTTCTTGATGGAACTTGTCTATCTTTGTCTTTGGGAGACTTTTTATTTCATTGAATGTGCCATAGTAGGGTTTGTGTTTTTTGTCTGAGACGAAGGAATGGCTGTTTGTGTTCCGACATTCCAAATGCAGAGCGCGTGCGAGTCCTCAGTGCGAAGGTCTGAGCGGTGTGTCAGCTTCTGTTGCTCTTTTTGCACACGTCTTCATTCCTCTCCAGTGCAATATGTACATAGAGCACTTGCGGGTGTACCTTGAACCCTCAGGGAAAAATACATATTTGTACAGTGTTTTCGTTTTGTTGTTGTTGTTGTTGTTTTGGTTTTGGTGTTTTTTTTTCCTTTTATTTTTGGCTAAGGAATGTCGATCGAATTACTTGTATTGTCCAGGGGCAGCCAGATAATAATCCTAAAGCCACTGTTGCAAACATTGTTTAAGTCATGTGTCCTTCCAGTGCTATTATTTTAAGATAATAATAACAATAATAATAATAATAAAAGTTATTTTCTGACAGTCCTTTGTGCTGATTGGTGGAAAAAAAAAAGGGTAAATAAGCACCTTATAAGACTTACTGTGAATGACAATCCATCTTGCTAGCAAGGATAGAAGCCCGATCTTTTTTTGGAGTTGGGGTTAAGAGTCAGAAAAAATGTGCTCAGGGATCTTCTGAAACTCTTAAAACAGGGTGGCCAGTACTACTGGGACAAATTGTGTTTTTTATCATTATTAATAACGGTAATGTTACCCCTCCAAGGCACAAATGAACTGTATAGAATTGCGTGTGCGTGTGTGTGCATGTGTGTGTGTGTGTAAACTCTGCTTTCGTCTTATTTTAAGTTCAGAACTTACATGCTCCTCCCTTTGTGTGTTTAAGAACACTGAATAACTTGCGGAGTAGTGCAAAGTTGCAATGTGTTCAAAATACAAATACACCAATAGAGAGCATCAAAGTACAGCCCTTATAGATCCCATTTCGCATTTCCCTGATAATTAAAATACTGTAAAATATTAAAACATCAAATATTTAAAACCAGTGATAAGACTTGCCTATCACTGCCATGAAATGGACAAAGATGCAACATATTTTGTTTCTTAAATGCCAGCAATTAACTGTTGTTTTCACCATGTTCTCCTCTAGAAGTAAACCAACAATCCCTTTATCTAATAGTTCTTACTGACACATTTGTAGGTTATAGATACCTGGCTTGAGAGCCACTGTCTAAAGACAAATCAGACTCCACTTGTGTGACAGCTGCTTGATCCAGCTGTTAGGGTCACAAATCTACATTTCTGAAATAACCGTGGCTTACATATTCCCATGTATTACTTTCCATAAAGTCAGAGGAGCTCAGTCTGATTGTTGGTTCTGATCACCCAGCCCTGGAATATACTACAGTCACTATCTTAACCTATGTTCTTCTTATTGTTGAGAAGCATAATTTGGGAAGCCTTTCCATGCCTCTTACATGACAAAGATACTTTCGCTTGTTTTGTTAAAGATTATGAAAAATGGCAGAAATCTCCCTCCCACTCTCTCATTGTTTCCCTCCATTTATAGTCTCAGTCTCTCTCTCTCTCTCTCTCTCTCTCTCTCTCTCTCTCTCTCTTTCTCTCTCTCTCACACACACACACACACACACACGCACACACGTGGTTGGTATTTTTATATAATACAACATGACTGCCACTGCTAATAAAACTTTGCTGTAGAACCCCATGAAAGTGACTTTATATTACAGCTCAAAATATGTGCCCAGAAATGCAATTGCAACAATAAACCTTGACCCGTTGCTAACAGTGTGTAGAATCCAGGTCTTTATATTGTCCCTTGAACATCAGCATATTAAAAGGCTCCACCAGAGCTGATGAAAGAGGCTTTCCCACTGCTGTGGATTTTTAAGAGATGAGAAGGTTGACTGGCAGTGTCTCCAAAAGTAATTGGTTTCCTTTCCAGGTCTGTTTCCTTGTTTGCGTGTGTAGGTGTGATCGGTTTTGTCAGGCTCTTGAAATAATTTTGAAAAGAGTCCAGAAACCTGGCTTCACACCCTGGAGCCAAGTGAGAGAGAGTGGGCACCTCCATGTTCAACCACACCCTCAGAACTTAGAGCAATAAATACATTCGGTCATTCATTTCATTATGAAAGAGTGACAGAATATTCAATCCAAATAGAAACCACCTTTTTTCAGTGATGCAACATAATGTGGAGTCTTGTGTGGAGAAAGTGAATTTGAATGTTTTAAAATAGATTCGTAGAGAATCCGTGTCGCTGTTTACATTTTGTATGTTTTGCCATGTGAGCAGTCCCGCACTTTTGTCTCTGACCCCTCTGGGAGATAAGGAGTGATCGTTTGCAGTTAGAGATACACATGCCATCATGTTGTTCTCCAAGAGGAACGACGTTCTCTCCCGTGTTTATGCCCGATTCCTTTCTCACTCATTGTTACTCTAAAGGAGAGGAATCCTATTTCCAGGAACTTGATTATCACTGAACAGATTGCATTTACATATGCAATCACTTGAGCAATATAGTGAATATGACTTCACAAGAAAACCTATATGTACTGTATACATCTTCCTGAATCCAAAATTCTCTTCTTATCCACCGTGGTTTGAAATCTCATCTCTGACAGTGGTAAATGCTTAAACATTAGGACATTAGCTGGCTGCTTCTGTAAATGTTCCTGTGTTGTCCGTTGCTCCTTTTGTGGAGATGTGTTTTTGTATTGGATGTTTGGGCCAATGGGAGGCTTCAAGCTACAACATATTTTCCCAGTTTAAATATATTTAACATACGACAAACCCCAGACAAGGCTTTTAATATGTATAAAGAACTGCAGTGTTAGGTGGTTTATTTGCAAACCGTTTTCAATATTGTCCATTTTTATGGCACCTTTAACAATATTCTTGTTTCCAAAGTACAAAAAAAAAAAAAAAATAGGTTAAATAATCTAGCCATAACTGAATGTCAAGCAATAAAACAAATGACTTTTGTGCATAGACTTAAAAAAATACAAATTTTAGACATCTGCATGTAAATGCAATCTCTTGTTTACTGCTTTCTTCAACTTGAGCAACTGATTCCTTATTTACTACTAACTTAAGAACTTGTAATGGCCTGTAAACATTTTCTCTCTTCCTCTTCTTTCAAATTTATCTTATCCCTGCCGTTGTCATAATATTTAATGTTGTTCTGCACATCTCTATACAGTTAACTTTTTGGCTTTCATTCTGTATAGATAAGAAAACGTTATATTATAAACAGCCTACTCAGTGCAAATATTTATCTGTTTATCAAATCCACAATATGCTGTATAATACCGGTTTTACTATATAATCTATTTTAGACATAGCTGTTTAGAACTAGAGTGTGCTATTTTTGTGTTTTTCTGATGTGTGGTGCTAGATAAGTTACTTTTGTGAACAAAAAAAAAAATTATCCCTTTTATTCCTAGACAATACCACCTTTGGGTCTTGTTAATTTCACTGAGTATAACTATATATTTGTATATATATACATATATATATATATATATATATATATATATATATTATCTACCTGTGCCCAGCTAGCACCTGTATCAGAGTGCTAGGATTGGGACATGCTTTTCTCTTTAAATACATACTGTCATTATATAAATTATTCTAGAGTGTATTTAATTAGGATAAAATTACTTCCTTAGTGTGGATATTTGACATCTATAGGGCGTTTATAAATATGAACAGATGAAAATTTGCATTGACTTTTGTGTTTGCTACCATTTGGCTTTCCACAGTGTCTCCTGAGCTAAAATAATTATTGGCTAGACCTTCAAGATCCCAAAGAAAGATTCTCATTCAGTGGAGTAACACATTTTTCTCTTACTGAGTTGTATCACTGGGCACCAGACAGATTTGTGTACTTAACTCCTATTTGAGATAATAAGCAATTATATAAAACCTTCCTGGTGGCTTGGTAGCAGAGTAGCCTTGCCACTCACGCAACGTGAGAAGGATGGGGACATCCATTGGCAGAACATGGGCCATAAGGCAAACTGGGCAAGGGATAGTCTAAGTCTAACATTACCTCAACCAGTTCTGTGAACTGACGGAAACACCTTCACTTTTAAAGTCCTTTAATAATGAGCTTAATTAAACTCTTCTCACTTATTCTCCCCAAATCTATTGGCATTGTTAAAAATCAGTCTTATCAAATATCTAACTAAGGTTGTAGTTCGCCTTATTAAATATTGATTAGAATTGTTCTGTAATATTACTGAATTTGTAAGATCTTTAGCAAAGATTTTTGAGCAGTTTATAAACATAGAGCAAATGTTTCTGTTAACTGCACTTTTTGTAACTGAAAGTGATAAATTCTCAAGCCACGATTAGTGGCTCCCATGCACTGCATATTCCACCCCCCATTCAAGACATTTTCCATTCTGATGGAAGAGTTCCTGTTACCTTAATTATAAATGCAATTATGTGGTTAATGGAAGCTCCTGCTAATAGTTAACCCTTTGGAATGAAATGGCTGTGGTTTAGGGAAAAAAATCGCTGAACACAGATCATGTCATTCTTGAACCATCTCTCTTGGAAAGAGATTTTAAAGCACCATTGAGCACCCTCAAGGCCCCAGGGTGGAGAGTATATCTCTGTGCCTGCCCAATTGCCAGCACATGTCAGCATCTGATAATTATTAAATTATAACTGGCCCCAATTATAACTTTCTTTCCTGGGTTACTTTGGCAAATTGATAAAAGTATGCCACGCCTTAGGGTTAACATTTTCTTCTACAACCAAGAATAAAAACCACATTTAAAAGATCACATGAAATGCTGATTCTAATTGTGTGTAGGTCTTGAGGACTGAGCACACAAATTTCACAAAACTCTGTGAGTGACAAACTCAGCCTTCTGTAAATACACGTGCAAGTTTGGAAACAGTAATACTGTACCTATAAATAAATGCTGTCTGTTTTGTGTACAGTATGTAAAAACTCCTTTTCTGCCACACTAAAAATGCAAGCCATTTACAAGAATCCTAAAAATTAGTATTGAACTAAAACTTTGCTAATGGTCTTTATTAAACAATCACCCAACTTTTTCACTTACATTGGGTTTTCTTTTCAGTTCACTCTTTACTATAGTCTGCTTCTTTCCTCCTGTTTTATTTTATTGAGTCCTGAATTTAAAAAAAAATATTTTGATTCATTTTGTAAATACAAACTGTAAAAAAGAGAGATTTAATGTTGTCTTTTAAATACTCCGATTTTCATTCTAATATGAATGTTGTTATATTGTACTTAGAAACTGTACCTTTAATATTACATTACCTTTATTAAAAGTGCATTGAACACATCAATTTTAGATGTGCTTTATGTACTGTTATCCTATAATAAAATTTCAGCTTCTAATGGAATATTTGCCTGGTTTTTGTTCATTTTCTTTGGTGGTTGTGTGACACTACATAATTTTCTAGCTGTATCTTGGTAGTTTTTCTAGTGGATGGTGTAGCAGTACACCTTGAGCAAGTGTGGCCCACAAACCTGTAGCATGGGCATCACCCTCAGTGGAGCTAGAAATGTGGAGCCACATATTTAGTAAATCAGAATTTCCATTTTTATAAGATACAGCAGACCCTTTTACACATTAAAAGTCTGAGAAGCACTGAGCTTTTTTTTTTTTTTTTTTTTTTTTCTTTCTCTGAGCCGGGTAGTACCCCAGATTGAGCCCAAGGCCCTGTGTATGCTATGCTAGCTCCCTGCCACTGAGCTACATCCCAGCCCTTACGATATAATCATTTTTTAAAAATATATTCTTTTTTCCCCAGTGCTGGAGATGGAACCAGGGCCTGAGCACACAAGGCAAGTACACTACTACATAGTCCCATCTCCAGCTCTTGGTTTCATTTTTAATTTTAAGACCGAGAGCAATGAGTACTATAAGGGTCAAGCTACCCATTTGGCGTGAGAAAGGAACACAAAAAGTATCTACCAGTGTGACTGGTGGTTGCTGTTAGAAATGCAAAGCTGAGGATTCTTTTTTTTTTTTTCTTTTTCAGTACCAGGGATCAAACTCATGATTGCACACTTGCAAGGCAGGCACCTACGCCACTGAGCTAAATCCCCAGTCCTAAAGCTGAGGATTCTGAGGCCAGTTCTATCCCACAGGAGAAAGGCGTCATGGCCAACTAGCAGGACCTTCTTGCTCCTGACTGCATGCCGCATTGCCTGATTCTTATCTTAGAAATGCTTGCACTAGAATGGCAGAAATGATGTCAAAGACCTTTAAAATGTGACTTGAACTGCACTGTCACTGCCTGCCCTGCCCTGTTCTGGAAATTAATTCTTAGAGGTGACCCACACATGTAACATAAGCCAAGTATCACACCATCTTAACAGTGCAATAGCCCTGTCATGAATTATTCTTAAAGTAATGTCAAGGACATTGGAATCATAAAATACTCTGAAGTCAGAATAAAAGCAACTGAGTTGGCATTTTCCTACACACACACACACACACACACACACACACACACACACACACACACGACAGTGCCTAAGGATCTCTTACAACCAGGAGACAGCCAATGAATATTTGAAGTGATCCCAGCACTTCCCACATGTACCAAACAACCTGCAATCCTGCCCTTGCAGTGAGCACCCAAAATCCACAGTGTTTAAATTTTTAATTACAGTAAAATTGCCATTAGTGCTCCTAGGAATCGTGTCCCACCATTTTTGCCACTTTCTGAAGCAGTTCTGAAGTTCTCTTTTGTGTCTTTTTGAGGTGTAATAAAAAAAAAAAAATAGGGGCTGGGGATTTAGCTCAGTGGCATAAGAACCTGCCTTGCAAGCAGGGGGTCGTGAGTTCGATCCCCAGTACCGATTAAAAGAAAAAAAAAATACTGTAAATGCTGCTGAGTGCCATTCAACAGAAAGACTTGCAAAAATACTACGATGAGTTTGGATCCACTTCAGCCACCGGATCTGCGCTGTGCAACTTCCCAAAGTCAAAGTGATAGTGAAAGGTAAAAACTCAGAATCTGTTCAGGACATTGAGGCAGCCACATCTGCACAACAAAAGACATTTGTGAAAGAGGGCTCCAGAACTTCTCCAGAGAGTGCAAAGGACAGTGGGGTAACAGTGTCCAAAGCAAAGAGGGGTAATATGAGGGGGGCTCATAGCAATGCATTTTTCATTGCAATTTGTTAATCAAAAAAAAAATTTTTTTTTTTTTTTGTCTTTTTGAGATGGGGTCTCACTATGCAGTTCAGGCTGGCCTTGCCCTCACTTTGTAGCTCAGGCTGGTCTCAAACTTGCAACGATCCTCCTGCCTCAGCCTCCTGAGTGCTGGGATTACAGGCATGAGCCACCACACCCAGCTCGTTAATCAAATATTCTGCTCACATCTTGTATCTGCAGTCAGCTTAGAGAATAGGCTAAGATCATGCACATGGAGTCTTTATAGAGCATCAAATTCTGCATAATATAACTAGTTACTGTATCAAAGTGCCTGAGGAAACAGTTAATGAAAATAGAGTTCTGAATGTGAAATCTATTACCTCTCTGCCTTTACCGTATCCACACCAAAACTCCTGCTGAACATGGCAATGCTTTTCTACAACGTGGACTACCTTCCTGGGTGTCCAGGAGGGCCCTTGGTGGTAAAAGGGTCTTCTTAGAATTTTTACAACGAACTCAGGCTTAGAATTTTTACAATGAACTCAACGAACAAATGTCAGAGCAAGTGTACGCATCAGCTCTGGGAGAAAAAAATAGTAACTGCAGACAAGCCTGGAGAACTGACCAAGAGAATGTCTCAGCTGTTGCAGTCACAGCTACACGTCTCTCAGGAGGAAAGATTGGCCCTGCCTCTCAAAAGTGAACATCTGCTGTGCACTGGGACGAAATAGTCAGATGCTGGGGCCTCGGCTTTGCACAACAGACCACGATGTGAGGGACCCAGCTGGCTCCACACCTCGGCACCAGAAGCTGGACCCCACAGTGCACAAAGCCGCGGTCCAAGAGAGTCGCTAAGCCATCAAAGAAGGAAGAAAAAGATGTTTCCTTGCTTAAGTTCTGCGAAACTCGGCAGGGAGGAAATTTCTCTGGCATTGGCTCCAATGTGTGTGATGCTGGAGGAAACTCACGTGACAGGCGATAAGCCAGGCATAGGAAGACATACACATGTGCCCACATGTGTGTGAAACCTACAGATGTCTATGTCCTGCAAGCAGAGGGCACAGCGCTGTCACCAGGGCCAAGGGAGGAGAATGGCAGGAGGAGAAGGAGCAGGATGCAGCCAGAAGAGCTGTTCCAAGTTTCCACCACATACTCTGGGAGGGGGCAGACAGTTAACAGCAACAATAAAATGCCTTTCAAAATGGCTATAAAGGAAGGTGATGAATGTTTCCAAAACAAAATGATCCATATTTCAGATGACAGAAATCCTAGTTGCCCTGATTCCATCATGACGCAAGCACACCCATACCTTGTGCCACACGGAACCCCAACTATGCACAGTTACTATGTGCCCTTTAGAAGTTGGGGGGAGGCATTCTGTCAAAAGAACAGTCCTGGGTCACAGAAGAATCACCCTCATGGCTTCTACTGCTGCTGTTCCCTGCCTGCCTTACCTGGCAGCCTAGATCCGGGAGTGGCAGAAGCTTCAGGCTAGGCGATGAACAGGAGAGACTTTCATTCACGGTATCACCAGGTGTGAGCTCAAGAAAAATCCTACCTTTTCCTTTAAGGTGAGAGAGAGGCCAAACTGGGGATTGACCCCAGGACCCCTGCACTGAGTTGCACCCCTACCCCTTTTTATTTCGGGGACAGGATCCTTCTGATTCACTAAGCTGCCCAGCCTGGGCTCAACCCTCCTGCCTCGGCCTTCCTGACAAGTACAGGTGTGCACCACCATACCCCGCTGAAAAAGCCTGCTCTCTTCTAGTGTCATTTACCTCTAATGCTGGAAAGAGTTAAACCACTCTTACTGCATTTAATTTGATTCTGGACTTTCTTCTCCTTGATAAGGGAAATACTGATTCTAATAAAATACATTGTCTCTCAAAATTCATTTGTTCTTTAGCCATTTGGTGGACTTCTCAAGTTGTATTTTTTTTTTCCTTTGGTACCAGGGATTGAACTAACAACCTCGCACTTGCCAGGCCACAGGCTGTATTTTTATTCCAAGATGACTTCCTTTGTGAGGGAGAAATCACTTTTAATTGTGCTATGTTTAGAATTCAAAATTAATTTGAATATTAGTCTCACTTCAAATTAACTCTGGTAATAGTCTCCTAACAATCTATGAAGGTCTATAACTGTCTCCCTACCCTGTGGTAAAACACACAGCCTACTCTAAAAACAAATCTAGTCAGACATGGTGGCATACACCTGTAATCCCAGCACTCAGGAGGCTGAGACAGGAGGATTGCTGTGAGTTTAAGTCTAGCATGGGCTACAAAGTGAGCTCAAGACCAGCCTGAGCTGCATAGTGAAAAACCCTGTCTCAAAAAAAACAAAATAATAATAACAATAACAACAATGCAGGCCAGGGGTAATGGAATACACCTCTAATCCCAGCACTCCTGAGGCTGAGACAGGGGGATCGCTGCAGGTCTGAGGCTAGCCTGGGATACATAGTGAGTTCAAAACTAACCTGGATTGCGTAGTGAGAGACTTTCTCAAAAAATATAAATGATTTTTAAATTTGATTTAGCAGAATTACCTCTGCTACTTCTGTGGGACAGTCAGGTACACCATGCAAAAGATCGGCAATCAGATGAAGGAAGTGATGTCTGGGTCTTTTCTTTTCCTTCCAGCAACCATGTAATATATAATGCAAAATATATTTTAGAGGATATTTTCTGATTAGAAACATCTGAACGCTGCAGCCACTCTATGCTGACCCATGCCTCTCTTGTAGGATCACTTATCACTGAAAAAAGCCTCTTTGACAACATTGACAAAACACTATTTCCACAAATTTCTAAATCATTTACCAGATTGAAATCTGCAAAGGGGCTGTTTCTGGATCCTCATTCTCAAAGTACCAATGGGCTACTGAATACACGAAGGGACTCACTGAACAAGGCAGTTTCCAGGCTATACTCTGTCCAAGGCCAAGTTTACATTGAATCAAGCAGAGGAAGCTCATTAGCTGAGGGCCAGGAAAGTGACCAAGTACTAATACAAGGGAAAGAATGATTCTGTGCATTTCTGCCTTACTGAGAAGAAAAGCACACCTAGTAATAATTGTGATAGTTTCCTACAGCCAATGCTTGTGGTTTTCAGGTTTTTTAAAAAATTTTTGTCCAGTGAAACAATTTACAGCCTCAAATCAAGTGCAGACATGTACATTTTTTCAGTATTAAACTGGCTTCCCATTTAACATCTGGGTTTATTTGGTTTGTC